AAAAAAAAAAAACTCGCTGCATTTCAGGTGTCCAATTCTAGAAGACTTGAGTATGAAATTGGTAGCCGAAATTTTCACGTTGCGCACGTAACTGTCCAACTGCAAAGCAACTGATTCACTATAACAAGAACGCAAATGATAAAGCAATGGAGAAATCTTTTGAAGTCAATTTCGTACAATTGAAGTCAAATTAGTACAATTGGAGTCAAATTAGTACAATTGAAGTCAAATCAGTACGATTGAAGTCAAATCAGTACAAATTGGTAGCTGGAATTTTCACGTTGCGCAAGTAACTGTCTAACTGCAAAGCAACTTCGTCCAATTGAAGTCAATTTCGTACAATTGAAGTCAAATTAGTACAATTGAAGTCAATTTCATACAATTGAAGTCAAATTAGTACAATTGAAGTCAAATTAGTACAATTGAAGTCAAATCAGTACAATTGAAGTCAATTCCGTACAATTGAAGTCAATTCCGTACAATTGAAGTCAAATTAGTACAATTGGAGTCAAATTAGTACAATTGAAGTCAAATTAGTACAATTGAAGTCAATTTAGTACAATTGAAGTCAAATCAGTACAAATTGGTAGCCAGAATTTTCACGCTGCGCAAGTAACTGTCCAACTGCAAAGCAACTTCGTCCAATTGAAGTCAATTTCGTACAATTGAAGTCAAATTCATACAATTGAAGTCAAATTAGTACAATTGGAGTCAATTTCGTACAATTGAAGTCAAATTAGTACAATTGAAGTCAAATTAGTACAATTGAAGTCAATTTCGCACAATTGAAGTCAAATTAGTACAATTGGAGTCAATTTCGTACAATTGAAGTCAAATTAGTATAATTGGAGTTAATTTCGTACAATTGAAGTCAAATTAGTACAATTGAAGTCAAATTAGTACAATTGAAGTCAAATCAGTACAATTGAAGTCAATTTCGTACAATTGAAGTCAAATTAGTACAATTGGAGTCAATTTCGTACAATTGAAATCAAATTAGTACAATTGGAGTCAATTTCGTACAATTGAAGTCAAATTAGTACAATTGAAGTCAAATTAGTACAATTGAAGTCAAATCAGTCCAACTGAAGTCAATTTCGTACAATTGAAGTCAAATTAGTACAATTGGAGTCAATTTCGTACAATTGAAGTCAAATTAGTACAATTAAAGTCAAATTAGTACAATTGAAGTCAAATTAGTACAACTGGAGTCAATTTCGTACAATTGAAGTCAAATCAGTACAACTGAAGTCAATTTCGTACAATTGAAGTCAAATTAGTACAATTAGAGTCAATTTCGTACAATTGAAGTCAAATTAGTACATTTGAAGTCAAATTAGTACAATTGAAGTCAAATTAGTACAATTGGAGTCAATTTCGTACAATTGAAGTCAAATTAGTACAATTGAAGTCAAATTAGTACAATTGAGTCAATTTCGTACAATTGAAGTCAAAATAGTACAATTGGAGTCAATTTCGTACAATTAAAGTCAAATTAGTACAATTGAAGTCAAATTAGTACAATTGAAGTCAAATCAGTACAATTGAAGTCAATTTCGTACAATTGAAGTCAATTTCGTACAATTGAAGTCAATTTCGTACAATTGAAGTCAATTTCGTACAATTGAAGTCAAATTGGTAGCTACCATTTTGGATATTGAATGAACCATTTTCTGGTACGGATCCAACCCTCGGAAGAGGTTTCTACCAACCAAGCCAAATTCTTCAGCAGGATAATCATCAAAGGACGGATACTTCCCTTTATGTGATAATTGGGTGCCTACGAAGTCAAATCAGTACAATTGAAGTCAATTTCGTACAATTGAAGTCAACTTCGTACAATTGAAGTCAACTTTCGTACAATTGAAGTTAACTTCGTACAATTGAAGTCAAAACAGTACAATTAAAGTCAAATCAGTACAATTGAAGTCAAATCAGTACAATTGAAGTCGAATTGGATATTGAATGAACCATTTTCGGATACGGATCCAACCCTCGGAAGAGGTTTCTACCAACCAAACCAAATTCTTCAGCAGGATAATCATCAAAGGACGGATACTTCCCTTTATGTAATAATTGGGTGCCTAAGAAGTCAAATCAGTACAATTGAAATCAATTTCGTTCAATTGAAGTCAACTTCGTACAATTGAGTCAACTTTCATACAATTGAAGTCAACTTCGTACAATTGAAGTCAAATCAGTACAATTGAAGTCAAATCAGTACAATTGAAGTCGAATTGGATATTGAATGAACCATTTTCTGATACGGATCCAACCCTCGGAAGAGGTTTCTACCAACCAAGCCAAATTCTTCAGCAGGATAATCATCAAAGGACGGATACTTCCCTTTATGTGATAATTGGGTGCCTAAGAAGTCAAATCAGTACAATTGAAGTCAATTTCGTTCAATTGAAGTCAATTTCGTACAATTGAAGTCAAATCAGTACAATTGAAGTCAATTTATTACAATTGAAGTCGAATTGGATATTGAATGAACCATTTTCTGATGCGGATCCAACCCTCGGAAGAGGTTTCTACCAACTAAGCCAAATTCTTCAGTAGGATAATCATCAAAGGACGGATACTTCCATTTATGTGATAATTGGGTGCCTAAGAACCCAAATTGCTGGACAACCTTGTTGAGCATATTCACTTTTGGAATCTATCAGGTGTCCAATTCTAGAAGACTTGAGTATGAAATTGGTAGCCGGAATTTTCACGCTGCGCAAGTAACTGTCCAACTGCAAAGCAACTTCGTACAATTGAAGTCAAATTCGTACAATTGAAGTCAAATTAGTACAATTGAAGTCAATTTCGTACAATTGATGTCAATTTCGTATAATTGAAGTCAATTTCGTACAATTGAAGTCAAATCAATCAATTGAAGTCAAATTCATCCAATTGAAGTCAAATCAGTACAACTGAAGTCAATTTCTTACAATTGAAGTCAAATTCGTACAATTGAAGTCAATTCAGTACAATTGAAGTCAAATTCGTACAATTGAAGTCAATTTCGTACAATTGAAGTCAATTCAGTACAATTGAAGTCAAATTAGTACAATTGAAGTCAATTTCGTACAAGTGAAGTCAATTTCGTACAATTGAACTCGAATTCGTACATATTTAGGGTTTAGGGTTTAGTTATAATATATAGTATAGTATATTAATATATAGTTATATTATAGTATGGTATATTAATATATAGTTATATTATAGTATGGTATATTAATATATAGTTATATTATATATTATATTACAGTATGGTATATTAATATATAGTTATATTATGTATTATATTATAGTATGGTATATTATTAATATATAGTTATATTATGTATTATATTATATGATATATATTATATCATATTA